GTCCGTTCTATACTTCACACGATAAATAAAGTAAAGTTGACCGGAAGAGCGGCGATTCCTCGAATCAGGTGAGCGTGGAATGTATTGTACCCTGCGCTTTAGCGCAGCTATAATAGTGCTCACGGAAGTGACATCTTGAGGAAGTGAGTCTCGCGAGTTATGTGCACGTAGGCAGCTGAAAACTTCGGACACACCTGCACACGCGATAAATTATGTTCAGTGCATTATTTCAGCGTTTCTATGATTACCGCCAAACAAGGAAGTGGAGGTAGTCAGTCAGAAGTGAGGCGAATCATCTTACGTTAGGTCGTCCCATCCAAAAACGTGAAAACCTATAGGGGAGTGACAAGAAAGCGAGAGACCTCGGTCTGAGAAAGCGAGAGTTTCTCAAACCGAGGCCTCTCGCTTTCCTGTCACTCCCCTATGAGACCTTATCATTTGTAATGTAATCAGACCATGTCGTACTTCAGGGAATCGCCAACGGGGAGTCGCATTTAGTCGCTGGAGGAGGGGGTGAGGGCGCTCGTATTTGGTCTGAGAAAAAATTTTTGGTAGCATTTTCTTGTTTCATCGAGCTATAAGCAAATCACACTTGCCTTTGTGATAAATTTGCGGCAATGGAAAAAAGTTTTTCACGGATTGTCGATTGACTCGCATTTTCCGAAAATTTTCCCCGGCGGCAGGACGTGCCTCGCCGGATAGCTACGCATTTACGCAATTTCGTCGTACTTGCTACAGAAGAAACGTCCATGAGTCTCTGGACACCATGCACAAACTCGAACGCTCGAAATCATCTGGAGCGCTTATCCTGGAAGAGCAACCCTTGCACGTTAGGCGAGTTGCTCCACCGTCAACGTGAACTAAATCCCTTTTAATGCATCGATCTTCTTTCTCAGATTTTACCCAACTTCCTGCCACTTTTTCCAAAATTTTCCTTAAAAGTTCCCTACTTTAACCCAAAAACAGTTTGCGTGGATCAGAGAAGGGGGGGGATACATTAGTACGCACTGAAACAGAAAATCACTGCAGAATAATTCATGCACCACTCCTCACACCAGACAAATACGCCCCTCTCTCCTGACGACCAAATGCGACCCCCCCCCCCTCTGTTGGGGATTCCCCAACAACGATGTGCCCTGCTGCATTCCAAATTTTGTATGCTTACTTCGACTACAGGTACAGCAAGCTTGACCATTCAAGTACTAATCATGTTACTAGCCGGCGCATGTGGCAGAAACATGGCACTCGGACATGACTATCATCCCTGACCATGGGCAGAAAGCATGGCTTGCCGAACAGGACTCGATCCCCTGACCAAACATTTAAGAACAGCTTTTGAGGCTGCTGAGCCATCACCCACTTCGATTCCACTAGTAGTTGCATACGAAGCACGTCATTAGATTGTAACGGTTCACTTTCAGATCCACGGTAAACTGGTCCGTAAAGTATACGCATCTGGTTGTGAGTTCATCGAATGGAGTCCAGAGTTACGATCGGCGATACGTGAGCTTTGGGCCGATGGTGGTATCAGAAAGACGTATAAATTGAGGAACAACTTTCATATTAGTGAAAGCGCTGAGTAGTGAGTTTCAGTCATTAAATAATTGTCATTCAACCTTAGGTGAAAATTGTTGAATAAATTGTCACCAAGTGCATAATTGCCATCACGTGGCCAGCACCTTCATCTATGTTTGATTGAAGTAGATTAGGCATTTTATTCTATGAAAGCTCCTTTTGAATAGGGAACTCTAGATGGAAAGCCATTTTCAGTTTCTTCAACGAGTTGGATCGAATTTCAAAGAAGAACTATAGACCATCATTACTGGACATTTTGCATACCCGTGTACCAACTTCCGGAGTTGTGCAGTTCTACTTCACAATAAAAGGCATAAATTTCGAGTAAGTTCGACTGAATGTTTTTCAACTCTCTGTTAGCGTACTTTAAGGCACACCTCGCAAGTTCGCAGAATTACGTTTCCCAATTAGTTCGGTCCGCGGTCGCGGTCGGTCATAGGTTGTTCCACTCTCGCTGGCCCACAACTTCCTTGAACACTACAACCAGTTCTAGATATAGATACCAGTTGTGGAACAACTACCACGGGACCAAAATTGTAGAAAACTGGCTAGCACCGCGCCAAACCCAGCCCTGCTGACACGCACTATGTACGTTCGCAGCGAACATAACCGTTCACACAATACCTTCAAGTGGCCGCGACCATTGGAGGCCAGAGAATTCTTCCTGATCAA